GCAGCAGGCGTTCAGTTCACTCCCTCCAGGTCAGGACTGATGCCTCTGTCACCGTTGTAGCCCCGGGAGGGCATTTCTGTCCCCAGAGAGGAGGACATCGAGGTACAGGGAGAGCAAACACCTCACCAAGGACAGAACCGCACATGGCGAGCCCAGATTCAGACCAGAGGGGCCGATCCCAGATTCCACAAATGCCATTCCCCACTGGCCCGGTGCTGGGCCATGGGCTTCACGTCTCTAAAGGGCATTGAGCCATCCCCGCCCAGGGCTGCTCAGCATCTCCTCACTGTGAGGCCAGGCCGGGGTCCTCTCCTCAGTGTCCTAACCGAGAGGGTCAAGGGCCTGTGGAGGCCAAGCCTGCACCTGAGCCCGGCCAATGGTCACGCCACTGCCACGGGCGCCTAGCTGGTCTCAGCTTCAGGGTCTAGGACAGAGGGAAGAGAAGCCTACAGAACGGGAGGCCTGTAGAGGAGGCCAGCCCTCCTCACACAGGGGCCGACATCTAAAATGTAGAGAGAACCCCGGAAAATTAGACTCCGCTACACAAAAGACCCCATCAAAAATGGGCAAGAAGAAATACAAATGGTCATTTAATGCATGAAAAGATGCTCAGCATTGCTGGCCACTAGAGAAATGCAAATTGAAACAATGCTGAGATTCCATCTCACCACAGAAAGAGTGGCCTTCATTGGGAAATCAAATAACAAATGCTGGTGGGCTGCGGAGAAAAGGGAAACTTCTTCTTTGCTGGTGGGAGTGAAACTAATACAATCACTATGGAAATCAGTAGACATTCCTCAAAAAACTAAAACTAGAAATTCCATTTGACATTTAGCTGTCTAGGTATCTTCTCCAAAGAGTTAAAGACATCATATTACAGTGACCCATGCACACCCGTGTTTATAGCAGCACACCTCATAACAGCTCCATCTTAGGAGCAACACATATGTCCATCAGCAGATGAATGGATAAAGAAGGTGTGGTATTTACACACAGTGGAGTACTACTCTGCCACAAAGAAGGATAAACTGGAGTCATCTGTAGGAAAATGGATGCATCTTGAGACCATAATGGTAAGTGAAGTAAATCAGACACACGGGCTTAAGTATTGCATGGTTTCTCTTATATGAGGAACCCAAATTATAAATAAAGATCAAAATAAAAGGTAGATAATGGGACATAGGGAGACAGATCTTTCTTAAATGGGGAAGGGATCAGGAGAGGGAGGGAGGGGATGAGGGGAGGGGATGAAACAGGAATCAGGATGTGTTGGCATGTGTGCCAGCTCCATGCAAAGAATGTGAACATTATGTACTGCAAACACGGACTATTAAGACATAAAAACTGAAAGAAATTCTAAAATAGTAGGGATCAAAGGGCTCAGGTCGGACCCTCGAACACTGCCTGGCCCCAGCACGGTTCCTCTCCACTCTCACTCCTCAGCACTGAGCACCCCTGCCCAGGGGCCATGCTGTCCATGTGGTCACAGGCTGCTCCGTGCCCTGCCTGGCAGTCCCTGCTGTGCATGTGCTACACCCCAGGTCTTTTTGTGTTTCTTAAAAGCCCTATCCTCTAAGTCTGCCTCCCCGCTAATGGTACACATTCCCTGGCTTCGAATGCTACATCAGTGGAAGTTTAGAAATGGGCATTCTTCGACACGTCATTTATTCTACTCAGTGGTGCATTTGTGAGACTCATCCATGTCATTATGGACAGTTTAGTCCTTTTGTATTGCTGAAAACACTCCATTGGATGAATGTACTTTATCAATTCTATTGTTAATGAACACATTAGTTTTGGAAATTGTGAATAAAACAATTACAAACAAGTGCTTTGTTTCATTCACATGTGTATCTAGGTTGGCACAGATAAAAGAACTCCTGTGTAACTTCGACAACATAAGAAGTTGTGCCGATTCACACTTTCACTAGGTGTATGTGTTTGCATTCCAACTGACCCATGTCCTCACCAACACTTAGCATGATTAATCCTTTTAATTTAAATTTAAATTTAATTTAACTTTTAATTTAATCCTTTTAATTTTAGCTATTCAGGTGGTTGTATGGTGCATCTCATTGTGGTTTTAATTTGCATTTCCTTGACAGCTAATAGAGTTGAGCTCATTTTCATCTATTTATTTGCATTTGTTCATTAGCACTTTTGGCAACTTATGCTCCTCTGACTCATACTGTACTTGTAGCCAAGTGAAATAAACTGTCTGACATACAATTTAGTCATCTCACCCCTATTGATTTGAGTTGGATTTTGGGTCCCCAGGGTGGCCCAAACAGTCCCACTTGTAATGATAAATAATATTCTCAAGTGCCCAGGGCAGCATGGGTCATGTCTGTTCTCACAACCACTTTGTGCAGAGGTGCTATTATCACTCTACTTCACTGCAGAGGAGCTGAGGAGGGGCTGGGGCTCACCTCTGAACAGCTAACAGGGAGGGGTCTGGGTTCCAGTCCACACCCTCAGCTGCTGTAACCTGCTGCCACCAAGGATGGAAGCGCTGGACACTTAAAGACAAACTTCAGAGGTGGCTAAAAACTGAGTGACAAAATGGACATGTGATTGTCAAGAAGGGAAAAATATTTGCAAAACACGACAAGAGATGAATGTCCTTAATATGTGAAGAGTTTTCACCAATTAATAAAAGTGCAGCCATCTCAGTAAAAAAAAAAAAAGTCATAGGGTTCTGGAATTAGAAAAATCTAAGAGTTTTCTGCATACTTTTCCATGTTTCTGTTCTCCTTTCCTGATGTATATGAACAAATTTATGACTTTGAGAAGTTCTGCACTAAAACTTCCTTTACAAAATTTCTCAAATCTACCTGAGCAAACTAGGTGATTCAGAGTAGCTTCACTTTTCGGAACAAACATGTTTGGGTTGTTGGTTTCACCGCCAATCCCATGGATAGCAAAATCTGCAAATGTCCAAGTCCCTGATATAGGACGGGGCAGTGTTTACGGTAACCCGCATGCAGCCTCCACTGCCTCTCGGGTACTGACAGCGCAGGGTCTGGGGAGCTGCTCGGGAATGGCTGTCGCTCTCTGTTCCTAAGGGACAGGTCACTTGGGGCGCTTCCCCTGCCTGTTCTGATGCCAGCTCGGTCGGGCCTTGGACACAGATGAGGGAGGGGAGGGACTGCTGCACCCTAGGACCCCCGACTGTCTCATCTCTGCTCCGCAGGACCCTACTCCGGTAACGCTTTCAGCAGAGGAAAGGAAGTGAATCGGGCCAGGCCTCTCTGCCTCGGCTGGTGACACTGGGCTGGGTGGATGGCGCTGCACTCAGGGAGGTTCCTTCTGGAACATTTTCCCCGTCTCTGATGACCCTCGTGCTCCTTAGAGGAGGTGCAGGGACCCAGGAGGCCGCTACTCACCCTCGGCCCAAGGCTGGGACACCATTTGCCCGTCAGCGTGTCCACGCTGTCCCTGCAGGTCCCCTCTTTCCGAACACGAGGACAGAAGTCTCTCCCTGAGCCCAGAGTGTTGCAAACTTCAGTGGATTCCTGTCGGTGGCCCCCGGCCTTGCTGTGGGAGCCCCTCTGGCCCAGGTTTCAGATCCCCCGCCCACAGGGTGGCATGAGTCTGTAAACACGTCCTTTGAAAGTTTCCTGTTTGGGATTACGGTAAGCTTTAGGGACAGGTTTCTTGGAACCCAGCACGGTCTGAGATGGTGGCAGGGCAGAGAGAAGGGACCAGTCAGAGAAACAGCAGCAAGACACCCTGCGTCTGCACGCAGAGCAGGGGGCTCCGGGGTCGGGAGCTGGGTTTGGCTTTTACAGGGTCTCCTGCACGCCCGGCCAGCGCTCGGCCCCTGAGCCACCAGCCCTCTGAGCTCTGGTTTTTGACAACAGAGGTGCTGGTTCCTGTGGTAGACAGCATCAGAGGAGGGAGAGGAGACCAGGTGTCCACAGGCGACAAGGACACGAGGCGTCTGGAGGCGGCAGCCTGGCAGCCTGGATGGGGAATGCCCTGTGGGGATGCTGGCACAAGGGTGAGCACTCATGGATGGCTGTGCTCAGGGGATGGCGGGACAACACCCTCGAAGGAGACACAAAAGGCGGCAGAGGAGGCGGGGCCGAAAGCCAGGGCAAGGGCTTGAAGTGCGGCCCTCGTGGGAGAGTCTGGGACCGAAGGGACCTGAGTGACCCGGAGGCCAATTCAGGACAGAAGCGAGCCCTGGGATCAGCCATGGGGACCAAGGGGCCCTCATGAGGGCTGGGGCATGGGGGACTCGGTGTCCCGAGAGGGCTCCGGCCTACCCCTGTGGCAGCCACTCCTCGCCCGGCTCCCTGTGCCAGGCGGTGCGGCCCAGGTCCCTCCGTGGGGACAGCGGTGGCTCCGGAGGACAGAGCCCCCACTGCGCCATTCCCCGAGCGGCAGCCCCTGTCCTGGGGACACAGGAGCCAGCAAGCTCCCTGAGACCGGACGAGACCGGAACCGAGAGCGAGGGACACGGGGCCCAAGGCCGCCAGGAGCCCTCGCAGGTCCGGCTTGGGCGCCTGACCCTGAGCTTTTCTCTGATTTGAGTTGGGCTGCACCTGCCACGGAGTCCTCGGGCGGAGTCCGGAGGTCGCGGGCACTGTGGGCAGACTGCTGCGGCAGGGCGGCCGGCTGCAGCCACAGCTCGTGACATTTGTCACTGTGGAGGGGCGCCCACTTTCTTGTCCCTGAACACAGTACTCAGCACTACACATTAAGGGGAGAGAGGTTTGTTTCAGCTCCCATTTCAGTTCCTAGTTAGCTAGCTCCAGGATGGCAGGATGGCATGTCAGAGGTGCACACTGATAGAAATGCTGCTTGCCTGGCCAGCCCTGCGGGTGACAAGAAATGCGATCTGCACGATACTTCCCTCTTTCCCTCTTAGACCAGGGCCACCAAGAACCCAGAACCCACGGTCCGGGCCCCTTGAGCTAGGGCCAGAGCCTGGGTAGGCGGGAGGGAGGGAGGGAGCAACTGGTGTCGGAGCCCGGCCGGGCGCCTTCTCCTACCTTTCCCATCCCAGCGTGCGCGTGTCCCAGCTTGACCACCACGGGGAAGTGCGGGGCCGTGAGCTGAAAGACAAAGAGGAATCCCGTTAGCTGGCCCTGCCTGCAGCCAGGAGAGTCGCATCTGGTGCCCAGGAGCCCGGTGTGGTCAGCAATGGGCCATGGCCTCAGCCTGCCCGGGCACCCGCCAGACTGCAGAGACAGGAGGGCTGGCTGGGGGAGCTAACTGGCTTCCAGCTCTGGCTTTGGTAATGGTGCAACCACAGACAAGCATCACATCACAGTGCCTCAGTTTCCTCATTTGTAAAATGGGGAAGTAACAGCATCCACCCCAATGATTGGGTGAGTTACCACACAGGTGAGCCCTGTGAGTGGCAGCCTCGTTATTCCTGGGATGGTTCTGTCTCACGATCTTCCTTCCAACCACACTGCCAGCCAGGCCCTCATCAGCCTCTGTAGGAGATTCCTTAATGATGGTGAGCTTGAACGTGAGACCTTCCTGCCTCAGCCTCCCAGCATACTGGGGTTCCAGGTATGCAACACCACCTGGCTGGGTTCTGGGTCTGCTTGGTTCCCTGCTGTTTCCCTGGCTCCTAGGACACTTCCCAATGGCAGGGAGATGCCCAGTACCAAACGTAAGCTCTGTCCCCTCTGAGAATGATCTGCAGGCCTGCACGGCCCCCGCGTGACACAGGTGGGGATGCCGGCTCCTCAGAGGCCTGCGGCCCTGGGCACACAGGCTCCGGGGAAGAGGAGCGGAGCCCGGGTGCACGTCTCCACTGTGAACTTCACCTGTGCGTCCTCAGGTGTTTGCTTGGGTTCTAGACGTTTATTTTGCATCACTTGCGGGCAAGGTTTTCCCTCCTAATGACGCATGAGGCGTGATGCACAGTGACGACTTAAGAACATCGTGACAGTAAAAGACGTCACCGCGAGTCCCTCTCGATCCTCTTCCTCACTTCACATGCACTCGCCCCTCATCCTCGGCGCTTCCTGCAGCAGCTCTGGAGTCAGAAATACGGTGACTGCTGCCGAGCGCCGTCCAGCAGAAAGGAGCTCATAAAACACGACGCTGTGCCCCTGTTCACCTTACTCACCGGATCTGCCACCGTGTGACTCCAGGCTCTTCCCCAAGGTCAAAAGGACCGTGAAAGGGAGATGTTTTAATTCTTTTTAGGGTTTATATATAAATTTATTGGTACATTTTAGATATAAAATACATTTACATTGATCATTGGGTGTTTGTACCAGAACATGATGGATCTTGGTTCTTATTTTTTCTCCCATTACCTGTGCACCCTTCACCCCCCAACCCTTCCCTATTTACACGGAGTTTGATTCCATTTTTTTTCTCATAGCTTTTCCTTTCCCTTCTTCCCTTTCCCCTTCCCCTCCCACCATCCCCAAACCCATGGACCTTTTCTTATTTCAAATTATCAATTATTCATTTTAATCATTTTCATGAAAGGGAGATGTTTTGAATCGATTCAGGACATCAAGGCAGCCAGGACAGCACAACTACAGACCCTCAGGAAAGAGGGGTCCAGAGCTGCTGCAGGCAGGGGCAAGAAAGATGGGATGAGTGTGTGCAGTGAGGGAGGGCTCAGAGGGGCTTGTGGTGCTGCGCCCTCTACTGTAGTAAAGTTTTTCAAGTCAGAGGTTCGCTGTATTTTCCCGTCATACCCTGTAGCAGCGACGCCACACCCAGCCCTTGGCATCACCCCAGCCAGGGGCCACCGCCCGGCTCTCTGGGCTGCTCGGCTGAACGTCTGGCCCTACCCTGTCCTGGTGTCCACTGGCCGCTGTCACTGTGGTGGAAGGGCCAAGGCCATTCCTGGGACCCACACGGCCCACACAGCCACCGGTGAGGGTGTTTCTGTTCCCATTTCACAGACAGGGAAACTGAGGCTGGGGTTGGCCATGGAGAGGGCGGAGCTGAGGCTTTGAGCTCCACTCTGTCCGGCCCCAGTGTCCTTAGGGTCAGCACCAGGGCTCCCTCTGGCAGACTGAACAAAAACTCCCAGAGTTCAGGTTAAAAATTGCCTTTTCCTGTTGTCTAGTGTGGACAAATGCATTAAAAGAGAAGCGATATTTGACTTTGGCTCCAGAAGCAGTATGCCCTCCCCACAAACACCGGGGACCCAGGATGCAGTGCAGCGGACGTGGAAGGCTATGAGTTACCCTCAGGCTTCCGGCAGTTCCGGTGTATTACAGGCTGGGCTTTTATAAAAACTATATATTTTTTCCTTTTGATTTATTCCGGCTTTACAAAATTGTGAGTACACCATGGTACCCAGCCAATTGTCTTTCTGCCCAGCACTGTGAGTTCAGAGTGTTTTTGGTGTCCAGTGCTTGTAGTCTAACGCCCACCACCCAGCACTTCACACATACGAAAGGTCCGGCCCCGCCGTGCTCAGCGGATGAAACGCTGCCCAGAGCCCGGAGCCCGCTGCAGTTCTGTCTCCTCCTCCCATCCTGCACCCAAGGCAGCCACTGGGGAAATTCTGTTTGCGGTTCCCCACTCACTCAAAATCTCACTGTGGCATGTGAGTCCCGAGCAAGGCCGGCCTCGCACGTACGCCTGGGTGCAGTGCGGAGCTGGCGAGCTCCTGCTGGCCCTGCTCAGGACGCACTTCCTGCCTTGCACAGCTCTGCCGTTTGCTTCCTGCTGCGGAGCACCTGGCGGCTCCTGTTGGGATTGTGCACATCCAGAAGCGGGGAGACTCGCCCTCGTCGGCACCGGCCAGGGTGAGGGCTGGGTCTCGGCACCCACTGTTCCCGGGTGGTCGCAGCCACATCGGGGCTGGAAGATGACACCTGCCCACCCTGGCAGTGGCAGGCAGAAGCCATGGGGGAGGTTTCACCTCGGGGCTTTGTCCCCCAGCACGAGCCGTGCAGCCTGTGGCGCCCTCAGCAGCCCCGGACTTGGGGTGTCACTGCCCTCTTCCCGGGGTGGGACATGGTTCTCCCCCCAGCCGGGCTGGTCATGGGCTGCCTGGTGGGCCGGGAGGGCAGGGACTTCGCATCTCTCCAAACTCAGTTTTCTGATCTCAAAGTGGGGCTGATGAAGCCTAAGTCAGGATGGCTGGGGAGAGCGAACAAGACCGTAAGACTGTGGAGCGACAGACGGCGCTGGACTCTACGGTGCACAGCAGAAGTGAGGTGAGGAAGGATGAGGGACGGAGGGGGCCAGATGGGGAGGCAGGAGCCTGGCGGAGAGGAGCTGACTCCAGGGGGACCGGGAGCCCCCGCAGGACAGAGGTGGGCAAGCCCCACAGTGTTGAGCCGCAGGGACCTACTGGCAGCCTCCTAAGCCCACCTACTGGGTGTGGTGGGTGCTTTCTAGGAACGGGCACAGGAGAAGGAACGGGAGCTCCCAGGACCTGCAGGGGCCCCAGGCAGGGAACTGCGCCCACGCTACGTCCACAGAACGCGGGGCAAGGGGATGCATGCCAAATGCAGAGCTTGTGAGATGTAGAAGGGCAGCAAGAGGAGGCGGAGACAGCAGCGCCCGTGCAGCCAGCCGCAGACCAGGGGGCCCAGAGCGCGGACGTGCACTCTCTGGTGCGAGGCGGGAGGAGGCACGAGGGCCGCCGCAGTCCCGCCCGCCCAGCCCCTCCTCCCTCCCCTACGCGCGTCACCATCGGAGGGTCTCACAGGCTGCTCTGGTCTCCAAGCTGGGCGCACGCCAGCCGGCCAGCACAGGACTTGAAGGGCCCAAGACATCCTGTCGGCTGTTCTCTCTTCCCCCTCAACAATCCTTGTACTTAGCTCCTGGGGCTGGCGGGGCGGGGATGGTTCTCCAGGGCCCTGGCCTGAGATCACGCACCCTGGGGTGCACCAGAGTTCAGCTCGGACCTTGGCACGAGAGGCCTGGCATTCTTGGTCTTGGCAAACAGATTCCTGTCCTGATGAGGTGAAGGCTGAGCTTCCTGCAGGGTGCTCCCGGAGGAGGCTGAGTCAGAATGGTCTCCACCCAGATGGGCCCCGGACCAGGCTCCTGCTCAGCCCCGGACTGGAGAGCTGGACATCCCACCCTGGAGGTCCCCCATGCTCCTGAGATGGAGGTGTGGACCCCAGGCGTCTGGTCCTGACTGGGGGCTCATGACCTGAGTGAGTTGCCATCTGGCGACAGCTTGCTGTCTGGTGAGGCAGGAGGAGGTGGACTTCACGCCCAGACTCAGCAAGGGCGGGCGGCTCGGGCTCTGCCACGGCCAACACCTTCCTCCTGCCTGGCACTGCCTGGCACAGTCACACCCATGCCACCAGGTGCTCCTGGGTCCCAGAGCTGCCCGCCCCTGGATGCAGCTGGTGTGGGTGGGCGGTGGCCAGCAGGCCCTTTGGCACCCAGCTACTGCAGGCAACCCCCGGACTCTGAGCCCGGAGGACCTGGCTCACCCCTGTGCCCAGTCTTGTGTGACTCAGTTTCCTCACCCTTTAATCGGATCACTGATGCCCTGACTGCCCTGCATGAAGCTTTACGCCTGCACACAAAGACTCTCCCCATGAGGCAGGCGGGGGACAGGATGACTTTCCAGAGTTCATCCTAAGCCTTTCATCTCCTGGCAGCTACCCGATTCCTCCTCCACGAGCAGCGCATGTTCAGAGGACCTGCGTGAGGACACAGCTGCTGTGTGACCCGGCCCTGCCTCCACCAGCCCCGTTCCCCAGCTCCTCTGGCCTCTCTGGCTTCCTTTCCAGCTCTGATGCTGGCTCTGCACCCGCCGTCTGCAGGGCCCTTGCAGGTGCCATCCTCATTGTCTGAAACATCGCCCTTGCTTCTCTTCATTCTGCCAACTCTTATACATGCCCAGGCTCAGCTGCTGCGGAATCTCAAATTTCCTGAGTTTCCTGTCACAATTTATTTTTCCTTTGCTTTTTTTGCGGTGCTGGGATGGAACCCAGGAGCGCCCCATCCCTGGTCTATATCCACAGCTCTTTTATTTTTGGAGGTCTCACTAAATTGACCAGGGTGGCTTTGAACTTGTGACTCTCCTGCCTCAGCCTCCCAAGGGGCTGGGATCTCACATGTGCGCCTCTGCGCCTGGCATGTTTTACTTTTCCTGATAGCTGGGTTCTGGCTCTGCCTCTAGGTGGGGGTGCCCCTTCCAACGCAGATGATGCCTGATACGGCAGTCACCCTTTCTCTCCTCGGGGGCTTTGGACACTGACCACACTCGCCAGGGGGTGGGTGACCAGGGAGGACAGGGCTGGCAATGGCTCCACGTGTAGGGTGGACACAGTCACTGTACCGCGCGCGTGTGTGAGTGTGTGTTCAGAACACTGGTTTACTAAATGTGAACACTAAAACCAAACTCCAATTTCGTCGTCCTGTTTGGACATTTCCCCCTACAAACCTCAAAACAGCAGCAGCAGCAGCAAACACAGGCCTCTGCCACTGCTCGCCCTTGGAACACGGTGCAGTGTTTTGCAGGAGCTGGTGTCTCGGATTCGGTTAAGACCCTGGGTGTGGACAGGGTGAGGGCCGCAAGAGGCATGAGCCCCGGTGACCCCTGCCACCCTCTCCTTGCCCGTGCCTGAGCTGCTCCGTCACATGCACCTCCTTGGGGACCGTCCCTCAGAGCAATCCTCACAGCTGAACGTGGGGTCGACGCTCGGGGCCCAGCACTCGGGAGGCCGAGAGTTCGAGGCCAGCCTGGGCTACACAGTGAGAGCCTGGCTCAAAAACCCAAACCCAAAACCACACGCATCACATGGAGAGAGGATGGGCACAGGGCTGAGAAGCAGGCTGGAGCCAGATCGTGAAAGCCTCCTACTTGCAGAGGTGCGGAGCCATTCCTGCCCACGGGCAGAGCCCGGAAGCTGCTGTCGCAGGGACAAGCATGAGACTCCCAGGCGGGAACAGCCCTGGGGTCCAACACCAGTGCTGGTTTCTGAGCCTCAGTTTCCCACTGGTAAACGGTCTGTGTGGAAGGACTGGGAGGACACAGAGGGGCTCTTGAGGGAGGTGCCCCGCTCTGCAGTCACCGCCGGCCAGTCGTCTCTGAGGAGGCCAGGCCAGGCCGCGTGGCTCGGCTGTCCCTGCCCAAGGAGGTGGCAGAGGACACAGGAGGAGCAGCCGGCAGGGCCACTGTCCACACGAGTGCCCACTGTAGCAATGTCCTGGGGCCACCTGGCACAGCCCTGCAGGTGGACCAGGGCAGCCCACCACGGCCCTCTCAGTCCAGCCAGACAGAGCTGGCCAGTGGCGACTCTGAGGGGTGGATGGTGTGTAGGAAGGTGCTGGATGCGAATCTTGGTGAAGGAATGGAGACAGCCACACAGATTGCCAAGGTTGCAGAGCAGCCGCTCCATAAATGCTGGAATCACTGTGAACTGCAGGACCCCGGCACCCTGTGAGGTCTCCTTTAGACCTTATATTGTTAAATTTTTGGTGTTTTTGAGATAGGGTCTCACTTTGTAGCTCAGGCTGGCCTTGAACTTGTAGTGGGTGCCCCGGCCCCAGCCTCCGAGTACTGGGATTATAGATGTGCGCCACCATGCCCAGCGGGGCCCCCTGTAGGTCAAGCAATTTCCTTGGCCCCTGAGCCTGCACGAGGCCCTGCTGTCCACGCAGGAAAACCCCCAGGAGCAGATGTCAGCTGGCAGCGCGTCTGTCTCCATTTTCTCTGGGCTCCTCCAGTCCACATGGGCGTGTGGCTTTTCCCGTCTAAAAAAAGCTTCTAGATGCTTTTAAATTAAGCGAATGAGTGAGAGCAGCACTCATTTTTTCCCTTCCTTTGAACATGTGTGTCATGCCAAGAGCCCTGTGGACGGAATGTTCAGAGGCTGCAGAGAGGGGCCAGCTGCCGAGGCCCTAGATCACCGCCCCGAAAAGCAGCCGAGGCCCCACGGGCAGCAAGGCGGCCGGAGCTGAGCTGGGGTCTGTGATGCACAGGGGACCCTTCCCCGGGGACTGGTGCTGCCCCGCCCAGCCCTCTCGGAGGTGCCCAGGGGCGAAGGGGATTGGGGCTCTGTGTGTGAAATTTCAGGAGCAGGTCCGATGCCAAGACGGGCCTTTTGAGCCTCAGTTTATCCGTTGGTGAACAGGTCTGTGTGGAAGGACTGCCAAGAGCAGAGAGGGCTCCCAGGGCAGGCCCCAGGCCGTGTCCCTGCCGCCTCTCTGCGAATGGGAGGTCGGGGAGCGGAGCAAAGCTGGCCCAGCCCACAGCCTCGGGTCACCCGGTGTCTCGGGCACGGCCAGGCTCCAGGGTTCCAGCCCTCCTGGCCGCAGGGCAGCTCGGTCCCTTCCTGGCTGGACCTGAGGCCCTGCCCACGTCGAGGTCCGAGTCCTGTGAGGCTCACACCTCGCCCCTGCGGCTGAGGCTCCCGCTCCAGCACTGGCCTGTGACCGCGCCTCTGCCTTTTCCCTGCCGAGCACAGGCAGTGCGCTGCACTCATCCCGCGTGACAGCTGGGAGGCCAGGGCCATGGGGCCGGTGGGGCGCCGGCTGGACTCTTCTCGGGCCTCAGTTTCCCCTCTGCTGAGCGCCTGAGGTATGAAGCCAGCAGGATGGGGTCGTGCCTTTGTCCCCCAGGGAGGAGCCAGCCCCACGCGGGACTGCTGGATGCAGCCGGGCCCAGCGGGGGCCTCTGTCCCCATCCCTGGGCTCTGAGTGACGTCTCAGGATGCCCCGCCTGCTGCCAGCACGTCCACCCTGTGCACTCAGGGTGTTCCCGTCTACTCCCAACTCTGCGAGCGGGGTCTGACCGCAGCCGTGCTCAGATGAGGAAACTGAGGCTCAGAGGGGGGAAGAAACCCAGCTTGACAGCAGCAGAGCAGACGCCCTGCTCATGCCGTGGGGTCCGGGAGCGTGGTGACACAGAGGCCAGCAAGGCGCCCTGGACTCTGGCCGCACTCCCCTGACGGCCTTGGAAGGGCGGGTAAGCCCTGGCGCCCAGGCTGGGTCGTGGGACCTGCACAAGGCCCTGTTTGCTCACGGTCTGCACAGCTGGGCCGGATTAGTCCAGCGTCCTAAATAGCTTTGGAAGAGCGGCCGGCTGGAAAAGTCTGCTTTGTCCTGAGGAACCAGGCGCCGCACCCACAGTTACCAGTGTGCCCTGCCCTGTCCCCCACCCCGACTCTCTGCTCAGTGGCCCTTTGCACTTCCTTCTCCTGGCCCCAGTGGAAAAATCTCTCCTGGCACTTTTCTCCTAACCTCATGCCAGTAGAGATGGAGCTGGAGGGAAGAGAGCAGGGAGAGGCAGAGGAGGAGGAGGGAGACATTCGTCTCGGGAGCTGCAGCAGCTACCTGGGTCGCCAGGAGACTGTGGCTGCTTCCTAACGCGGGTGGCCGAGGGCTGGCCCCAAGTTGGCCTGGAGTGGGGCGGCCAGAATATGTTTTCTCTCAGCCACACTCCGGGTAGCACTCCCGGAGCTCGGAGCCAGGAGGGAGGGACAGGCGGGAGGTCCAGAGGCTGTAACCCGGCGGCCTCGCGACTCTGGCACCAGGGTTCTGCAGGAGCTGCCCACGAAGCATCCCTCTGTGCCGGGGACCCTGCAGGCTCACAGGGAGAGGCCCTGGGCTTCTGCTTCTTTCAGACCTGTGACACCTGTCTCAGCTCAGCGCCGTGCAGATTGCTGGTTTCTCTCGTGTTGGATGGGCAGAGGAAACCGAGGCCCAGCAAGGGGCTGTGACCGCCTCAGGAAGTGCAGCCTTGGGACTGGGGCTGGGATGGCATCTGTGTCCCAAGGGCAAGGCGTTCTCCCCCGTGGTCACTGACAGCTGACCGCAGGGACCAGGCCCAGCCTCCACGGGGCTTCCTCAACCTGGGAATGCTGTGGGATCTTCAGAAGGGCAGGGCTGGGGCGCCAGGGGCTGGAGGTCACCTTCTGCTCCATCCTGCCACCCATGTGCAGGACAGTGAGCTGGGACTGGATGATGTAGCCCCCTGCTCGGCTCTACAAGGGTGCTGGACCTTGGAAATTCTTCCCCTGGCAGTCACTGGCTGGGGCCTTGCTGCCACAGCAGCTGCCCTGATTTCTCCTCCAAACAGATGCTCCTGCCTGGCTCCTCCAGGGAGCTGCCCAGCAGCCTGGGGCACCTGTGCTGCCCTGTGGAGAGCTGCCCATCACTCTGGGGTGGTGGCACCAGGGACCCACCTGGCAGGGCTCCTGAGCCGGCTGTGTGAGGATCGGGGCTCTGGGGGTGGCGGGGCATCCCTGTGCCGTGGGGTGTCACAGGGGGCGGGGATGCAGACCCTGGCGGACTCTCTCTCCATGTCTGACAGTAGCCAGGTGCTGGGAAGAGTGTGCCAAACGTGGGCTGGGTGATTTCCGCCTGGACCCGGCCTGGTCCCAGGATGCTGAGGTCCTGGGCACCTGGTAGGTTGGTGACAGTCTCCGTGCAGAAGTGTGGCTGTGACTTGGACCCCGTTGGTCCCTCCAGAACTCCAGTGAGGGGCTTCAGAGGGGCAGGTGGGCTGCCCTTCTCCTGGCCCGGCTGCTCACCAGCGGGCAGGTGGGCATTGACCTGCTGCCCTCATGTTTGCCGGAGGCTCTTGCCCCTTCGATTTTTGCCATGAGCAGAAGTAGCACCAGGCCCCCAGTGGAAGCCGAGCAGAGGCGTGCCACGATCCCACCTCGGAACGGGGAGCCGCCACCTGCTTCCCATGGGAGCCCCGAGTCCAGGTGTCTGCCACAGCAACAGGGGGGACCAACGCCGTCTTTGAAGGGAGCCCCCAGGACCTCGGTGCCTGCAGAGTTGGGGCGCAGGAACTCCCCACTGCGCTTTCCTGTCCTTCCCTTCCAATTGGCCATGGCAGAGGGTGGTGGCTGGGCGGGGCTTCCTGCGGCAGCATTTGAGCTGGCACCGCGGGCATCTGCCTGGCACTCTGAGCAGGGAACAGGAGGCGCAACGTTCAGGCCTTTGTGCGTGAGGGGTCGGGACACTGGCGGGGACAGAGTGGGCATGCGGCTGCACCCCTCCTGTCCGCATCCAGCACAGCTGCCCAGGCTGGCGGTGCCACACCCAGGGCTGAGAGAGCGGGCACCACACACTCAGAGCTTTTGACAAGGGGGCTCCCACAGAGGTGGAGACAGAGACAGAGACACAGAGAGACGGAGACAGACACGCTGGGAACCCCAACTCCCCGTCCTGTGGGACGAGTACTGAATGGAATGGGCACCCACGGATTCTCCTGGACAGGAAGCTCCACCTATGCACTCAGCAGCAACGAGCAGCCTGCTGCCCGGGCTGGGGGAAGAGTCGGCTTCTCAAGCTCCCCACGCAGATGGCTGGGAGCTCTGTCACTTGTCCCTTCCCCCTGGTGGCAGCTGTGT